TGACATGTTTGGACTAGAAATAATGTGAAAAATTTTAACAGTGAGGATTGTTAACCATTGGAGCAATTTCCCCAGGACTGTAGAAGATACTTCCATCTCTGGAAATTTTAAAATCAAGATGACATCTTTTAGAATAATTACCTGCCATATAAATAAAAGATTATGGGTAATTCTGAGAACTCGTATGCCCTATGTTAAACAGGAAGTACAACTAGAAATTCACAGTAGTTTTGCATGGTTTTATACTCTATAAAGCCATTGATGTCAACATTTCTGTTGACTCCAGGGAGGAAATACTTTAGTCCCTGATGTACGGTTTTAGGCAATGCAATTGAACAGCTCAGAAGGAGAAAAATGAACTTTTAAACCATCTTTGTCTCCCCCCTTTATAACTCATCCTCCATATAAGGACTGGGCTTGTCACTCAGTGCAACTTGGAACAACCTCAGGCTGCTCGGAGTGGCACCCAAGTTGTTTGAAAACTGTATCATTAAGAGGTAATCTTGTGGATATGGGTTAAGACAGTTTTCCAGGTGCTCTTAGACCTGTTTCCTATGCACCTAATTTATAGTTTCATGAATAACTTTGTAGTTGCAAAAACTCTGCACATTTGCGTAAAGATGTATTTAACATGAATATAACTTGGTATATTTACATCAAAATTGATTAAATTGAATCATGCTGGGAAAAGAAGCATGAGACTTGCAATCCTTGAGTTATTCAGAATTACTATAGTAATAGAACTTATCAGAACCTGTATTTTAGCCTTGCCTTCCATGTAAGAGCATGAGGAGGCTGGGGGAGGCTTTAAGGGTAGTAGATTTAGAACAAATCAGAGGAAATGCTTCAGCAGTGTGTATGGTCTGTAAAGTCCAGTGGTAAAATTCACTGCTTAAAGCAGCCACTTTGATAAGTCCCGTGGCTGTATTTTTAAAAGGGTTAGATAACTGTTCTTAATGGGACAATACCCGGAGTCTTGAGTGGAGAAAAGTTTGCTTTGATTTCATTGGACTTTTCAGTAAAGTAAAAACTACAGGATATGACCCATGCTAATGCTTGACCAAGTGGTCCCGTCAGCTTCTGCAAGTGAAGCAAACTGAAAAGCAGTGGCGAACAGGAGGTGAATGATAGAACGGTAGGGAGCAGGATTTTATTGGAGCATCTGTGCAGTCAGGGCTGTACATGGAAGCAAAAGACACCCAAGAGGTCAGCCTGTGCACTTCTGGAGAGTCTTCTAAATTCTGACAATTCTGGAGGGTAAGCACCCCCTGACCCAGCAAAAAATCCTGTATTGCATGATCTGCCTGAAACTCTGAATCTGCTTATGAGGTTTCCTTTCCCTTACATGGGAACAGTGTAGAACCAATGCTGATTTATTCCCAAGTTATTAAAGACAGCACTTTGTAGGACAGGTAGGCCAGCTAAGGCTGTGTTAAGGTTTACTAAACTTCATTCCTTCCAGGGAAAAGCTGTCTTAAAAGTATTAGTGTATGGAGACGCTTGTTTCTCTGTCTTTTCTGCCATCAGTTGAATATTCATTCATTGAAGCTGTGCGTAGCTCCAGCAGTATCTCTGATCTCATTTCTGCTAACTTGACACCTGTTTCCTTTTGCCCTAACTGCCTCAGCCCCTATTTCACTTCTCACTCTTACTAATCTTCATGTCTCATTCCCTGCAACTCTCTATGCCTGGAGTGATCGCCCTTCCCCAATCTTCCCCTAGTCAAATCCTTCTTACAAGCCTGCTTTGTCTGTGAACTGTTCAAACATTCATCCGTGTCAGTCAGAAATATCATCCAGTCTGACAGTATGTATACAGAGAAGAGAGTGGCAGAAAACACAAGGGTGTGGCCTTCTAAATGATGTAGTGCTTTGAGTGAGTTATGTTGCAGTACCTTTACTCACATTGAATAATAGATTCACTTGTGGGGCTGTTGGAGTATTTGGAACTATTTAACATGAGTATAGGACCTAATCATTCTCAGTATCAGACTTTATTAGGTCCTCCATTTGCTTTCTCAAACATTGTGTTATGTGTATATCTGTCTTCTGAACTGGATTTCCACTGGGTGAAACCTGTCCTTATATGAATCTTTTACTGTGCTAACAAGGCACATCATTGACTCTTAACTAACAAGAGTAATGTTTACATGCCAATGAATATTTAAGGTCATGTAGAATACCCAAATAATCATCTTTTTGGACTTGTATTGCCTATTAATTCCTGAGTACTAGAGTTTTTTGATGATATGCTTCACTGGAGTCCAGTCTTCTGGCAAATAATCAGGTAGTCCCAACAGATGGAGTCACTTTGAAGAACTTGGTTGAGGAGATTATATTTCCACTCTTTGATGTGGAAAACATAAGCCTTAGCAAACTTCCTTTCCAAAAGTGTTGTCACTCAGCCTTAACTGAAGGGAAAAGTACTGTAGGTGTAATGAAAATAGGAAGAAAATATCATTAATGTAGCACTAGGGATTCAGCCAGAACAGTGCTACCTGCTATAATTTAAACCACTTAGAGAAAACGTGGAAAAGAATGCTAAATGCAGTCCTGCTGTGATCGCAGAGAAGGCTTCTGTCAGAATGTTTCCATGCCACGTATTATTCAGTCATCACTACTCTCTGTTCCTGCAATGTTTGGGGCTTTTATCTCATTTTGCACAATTCAGCCATATCTTGTTCCTTTAACCTCCCTACTAGTTCTCATAACTCAGTATGATTCTGCCTGAGGAAAGATTTTAATTAACAATGCTTAAAGAATAAAGGCAGCAAATGCATTTTAAAAAACATTACTTTAAGACAGTATCTTGGTTTTGTTTTATTCAGGTACTCTTTTAAGGCAATGCGTGTGAACAGGAGCAGGTATAAAAACTTTGTGGACTGATCCTATGTTCACCGCATATGTAAAACTCTTCCACTGAAGTCAGTGGGAGTTTGGAGTTTTTCAATGATTGAAGGATTGGGTCTGTGCAGTTCTGTATTTCTTCTTGGTTAAGAACACACAAAATAAAGACTGAGGGTCTGTGAATAGGAAATGGGTATCTTCTTAGGACAAAGTTTGCAGGTAACTATTGCATCTTACTTTAATTCCCATTCAACCTACTCCTCTATATTGTTGTCCTTTTAGAACTTCACATCCTAGCTTGTTTCATGTAGCTTGTCTGTAATGTTGTTTGTTTTCAAAATGTAAAATTGGACTCTTGATGGCATTGGACTTGATTTTGCAAGTTACTGAATATCTGCACATTTTTAAACTTCCCCACCTTCTCCTTAAGAATGGTGTGAGTTGAAGGTTTTTGTTCCCTCAGAAGGTGAGCCCATGTATGGGGTAATTAAAATGGCCATTTTTTATTGAGGATTCCTGAAATGTTAAGATGAAGCTATGTCTCTGACCTTTTAATTTTGGTATAGATGTCTTGAATGATAGTGGGCCAGTCTCTCTCCAGGGCACTTGAGTTGCTCTTAATCCTTGTGTGATACTTGACGGTGGTCAGGTTAGGCCTGTGCTATAATTTCATTCAGTGTGGCGTACTGAGCCTACTTTAAAGGCTTGTGACCTTGACTTTTGTATGAGAACGTCACGCCAGTATTTTTCTTAGAGCTGCCAAAAATTTCTATATTTCCATTTCATTTGCTTTTGTAGTAAGCCTATGGGATTTTTTTGATGGTTTTCTTTCTCCCTCACCAACCTTCCTCTAGCTAAGGTGTCTTGCTTGATGGTAGAGCTGATTTGCTCCTTAATCATTAAGAGGATAGTGCATAAATGTAACCTATTGTGTGCATGTATATGGAGGGAGTTAGACATTGTACTTTGATTTATGTTCTGAATATGCAGATAAGGTAGAATTTGCTCTGGTTGGAGAAAGGACCGCACCACGATTAACATGCATCGCTTTGTGGAGGCCTTCATTGCTTGGATAGATTCCATTCATAAGGTGATCAAAAAAAGTCACAGATGCCTTAGAACAGCTGTTCATGACTTTGAGGGATAGCACAAAATTGCTAACAGTCACATTAAACATTTTACTGTGTGTAAATGAAATATGTAACACAGATTTTTAAAGTTAAAGGATGCCTTTTTTTCCTCTTTTTTTCTGATCGCTAATCGTTCAGTTACTTTATCGGTTAGCTCCACTATTATTTGGTCGTGTATTGGTCTGCTAACTAATAAAATAAAGCTGATAAATTGGGTCAGCAGGGCTGGTCCTGATCTTGCATAACTGTCTTTGTAGTAATGTAAATTCATTGATTTTTAGGAGACTTATGCCTGTGTGTGCCAGTCATATCTGAATTAGGGCCAGTGTATGCATTGGAAGGAAATGAACCCGCATATTCATCAAGCAGGGACCTGTTTTCCTCTGAACACTGAGAACCGATGACATTTCTTCAAAGTGTATATTTTTATTTCCACCAAATAAATGAAGATCACCTGACCAAAGCTCATCTCTTGTGAACACATTAAAAACAAATGCAGGATGGCTACACATCCCTTAATAATGACTCAAGCTTTGTTCCAGTTTAGTGAGTGTCATCTTATTTTTTTAAAGGAAACACATTTCACTTGACCTCCAGGTTTTGGCAGGACTTGCTGCGTCCTCTTTTTCAGCCCTTTATCTACAAGTGTGTGTTTTTTTTTTTTTTTTTGCTTTGTTTTTTGTTGTTTTTTTTTTTTAACCTTTCAGAAAGAAGATTGGCCGATGCACAAGCTGGAATGCTCTGCCATGTGCATTTTTGGGCAGAAGTGGAATCCCTCTGAGACTGTGAGGCTAACGGCAAGGATTCTCGCCAAACAGGTGAGCGGAATGCAAGACTTGGGAGTATTTTTATTTATTTTTTTCCCCCAGAGGGAGGCGGCATGGGGAAGGCAGCCAGGAAAATGAAAATTTGACCTATAGTAACTGTCCCTGCAGAGGATGTTTCCTACCATTGTCCTGTGTATAGACAGGTCGCAGTACTGCATGTGAGCCACTTCAGAAAGATTGACCAAAGCTGCTACAGCAGTGTGAGGGACCATTATGCCTTTTTTCATGAGCTCTGAAGCAGTCTGTTTAGAATCGAGGCGTTGCTGAATACAGACAAGAAACTGACCAGGTTTACTAGCAGCTCTCCAAGGATGAGAGGTTTGATTCTCCATTCATTTGTGCCAGTGCAAATTGGAGCCCTTAATGGGCACATCCCACGGGCGTGCACGTGCAGTTTCCAGTGCCTCAAAGACATTTGAGGCACTACAAACAGCATGCGGCAATGCCGTTTGAGGCACTGTAAACAGCACCTGCACGTGCACCGGAGATCCCAGTATCAAAAAAACTGCCGCTAAAAAAAAAATAGTGTGGTGTATGTGACAGCAGCTTGTGCTCCTAGAAGCTGGAGCCTGGCTGGCCAGAGCCACGCTCTGGCTGCTAGCCAGGCTCCAAGTGGCCGGCTTGGCATTGCTGCTGGCCCAGGAGGCCCCCAGGACCCCATGTAAGGCTGCTGGGGCCAGCAGAGGTGCTGGTCCCAGCCTCCCCTACCAGGGTCCCATTCCTGCATGCCAGAGCGCACACGTAGGTGCATGCTCGGGGACAAATAGCAGTGGTACAAATATGTGCCGCTGCTATTTGTCCCATGGGAAACGTGTGCTGCTGCATGTGCATGCTTGTGGGGATGCACCCAATGAAGCCATTGGAATTGTTAGGGCAGAACTAGCATAAGTGATAAAATTAGGCCCAGTGGTTTGTTTGTTAAATTATAAGGCATGCTACTTTTGTTAGCTGTTGGTAAGCACTGACTTCTTCATTGGTAGCCACTTGTATTAGACTACCACACTTTTTTTACATAAGTCATACTTCCTCCAGGACTAACTACATAACACCATTTACTGTACAGTATCATATTGATGCAACATCATCCATTCTATAAGCTCCATATACATTTTGCGGTTCTGATTTTCTTTTCAGTTACAGCTGCCAGATTAATGGAGTTACCCTGTGTTGTAAAATTGAAGTCTGAAAGAGGGTACCCAAGTCAGTGATCTGTAGGGAGAGGAAAACAAAATTGTAGGAAAATTTCACATGAGTGTAGTTGCTCTAATCTGGCAGACAAGGTTCTTTGGGTGAATCTGATATCTTTTATTAGACCAACTTGAATAATCGCAAAAAAAAAAAAAATTAAGCAAGCTTTCGGGTTCAAAAACCCTTCGTCAGGCTGAGGAAGTTTCAGCAGTTGGTATGCGCTCTTTCTGGATGGAATGAAAAGCTGTAATCTTGTATTGTTAATTGCATCTGGGATATTCCGTGAAATACAGAATTTGGTGATAGTAAGAAGGGCACAGAAGTGTTTGCAGGGAGCAGATGGGGCCTGTACATTTCAAGGTTATTACAGTGTATATCTTTGGAAAAGCTCTAAATTTTATCTGTAAAAATAAATGCTCTTTGAAGCATATTTGTATGATTGAGGTTTGCTTATGTGACAAGGGCAACCTGGATAGTGTATGCAGAGAAAGAGGATTTTGATGGCCTGTTGGGAAGATAGCCTGCATACTCTCTTTGTGTGCGCGCGCGCGTGTGTGTGTGTGTGTGCAAGCGCACATGCACACACACAAGTGCATGCATGTGGTAATTAAAGCACAGTTGAGTGGTGATCCACAAACAAAATTAGATGCTTAATGATAAAAAAAAAGTCATTGGAATAAATTTGTGCTTTTATAGCTTACGGGTGCTGGGGGAGAACCCTCCATGTCATATAAAAGCTAAATATGCAAACCATAGTCCCTGAACCTCAGCTGCTGGGCCACCTGCAAAGCCATATTTAATGGCCAAGATTACAAAGAAGTGGCCTTAGGCCAACAATGGAGCACTGCTTTTGAACTCTGTCAACAGTGAGTTTATTCACTTTCCTCAAAGCGAAGCCTGTCTCCTGCCTGCTTGCTATTGTTAGCAGCTTTCTGGGTGTCTGGAACAAAGCAAATGACATATTTAAAATACTGTTCTGTTTATGTATGTAAATTTGATAGGAGTTAATTTTTTTAACTGCTTAATTTGGCGCACAGAGGATATTTCTTTTTCTTTTTTTAAGGTTAGTCAATTTAATTGGATCATTTTCTTTTAACCGTTGTAAGGGCCATACACTAGGAGTTTTTTGTTTTGGTTTGCAGGCAAAAACTCAGTGTAGGAGTCAGCTGATAAAATCATTGCCAGATTTTAAAAAAGGATTTTCTTGGGTTTTTGGGGGTTTTTTTGTTTGTTTTTTTCTTTGCAATATTTTTTCTATTTTTAGAAAATCCACTCCGAAAGAACACAATCGGAAAAACTCCTCAGTGTCAAAGAGTTTGAATCACGTGAGTAGAGAAGCTTTTCAAGTAGCATGGCCAGGCCTTCATAGAGCATTCAGGAACTGCTGCATTATCCTTCATCAAAACCTTCTTGGAGTAATTCAGTTTTTGGAGGAGGGGATGAAAGAGAACCATATTTCCTAGAGTTTTGATACCTCTTTGCTTTATTTGTCTCCTGGTAGCTTAAGAAGTAGGGAAGTGAGGTTGAAACTTAAGACAGACTAATTACATAGTGTCCATCCTTCTGATAGACACTGGTGACTCCTGTGAATTGTAATGTTGCAGAACTAAAATAGCTGGTCTTGTTACCAGCGGGCATAAAATCAGACAGTACAGTTGCTTGATGGTGACAATGACTAAGGGGCTAATTGCAGAACCCTCTGGGCTGCAGTTCAGTATTTGTCACTGCCAGTCAAATCTGACATGTTATCTTTGATTGTGTTGAAATTCCATGTCCTGAATGCTCCACAGTGATCTGAGGAAGGAGAGAAGCCAATAGCTGGCTTTTATCTTGAAGGTTATTGCTTTTCTCCCTTGAGGCAGAGTTAGAAATTGAGCAACTGTTGAGGAAACTAACCAGCCTGGAATAGTCTTCACCGCTCTCTACGGTTGCTCTCTTTCTTGGTACTGGCACTAATGAGAAGAAGCTGACCTGCACATGTCAGTCAGTGAAGGTGGTCAGGGTATTGTGTGTCTACAGTTCTTTCATCCAGAAAATTTCCCCAATAGTCCATCACTGGGGAGAGAGGTGGCAGTTGTTTAACCAAACCCAGCAGGACTTCTAAATAGTTTTAGCAGAGCAGATGAATGAGATGACCACCTCAGTTGGGGAAATGAGGTAGACTGTTGCCAACATTTTTACCTAAGCCATGGTGGCCCATACTTGAAAACATTTCTAAATGCAACTTGTAGGTATTTTAGTTGGGAGGGACAGTTGAGGAGAGTGGGTGGTGGCTGAAGGGTTTCCTCTGTAACAGCCCTTAGGATTAATAAGCTAATGTGCAGCAGTAATGTCCTTGTCCACTACTGGTGTTTAGTCTCTCTCTTTAAAATGGTGTTAGATGTTACTTTCTAATCTGGCACAGTTTCCCAGTTTATACATGGCCTTGAAAGAAGTGCTTCTCACGGAAATGCAAATGCTTGCAATATTTCCAGCTGTCTGTTCTGTGTGTGACAGGGTGGGGGGAGCAGGAGGTAAGTGTTTCCCATACAAGTACTGACCTGTTCTAACCTGGATTTGGCTGTAGTTAACAAGGAGCCTGTTTCTTGTATTGCAGTAAGTTGTCTTCTTTTTCCACAGACCTTGATAAACTAGACAATGAAAAGAGAGAGCTGATTCAGAATGACATTGCTGCTCTTCATCACTTTTATTCAAAGCACATCGAATACCCTGACAATGCTGCCCTTGTAGTTCTATTTGCACAAGTAAGTTGGCTAGAATAAAATCAGTTTAGGTAGGTGGTACTGTACAAGGACTTAGTTTGTTTCTTTCATGATGACTATCAACAGCAATGGAGACTGTTGCCTTCTTTTTATCCACAGCTTTATATGACAGTGGCTAAAACTTCCTATGTTACTCTGTTAATCTCTGCCAACGCACAGCTTCTAAATGTGTTAAGTTGGTTATTACCTTCCTTCTGCCAAGGTAGTGAAGAGGCAAAACTTCATTTTGCATAACATTTAGAAATCCTAAAATGCCTAATTGCCCCTTCTTTTTCTTACCTGAATTTAACCCATCCAAATTCTCTAAACTTAGTGTATTTACTAAAACCCAAGAACGATGCCCCTCCACCCCACTTTTTCCCCTCTCTCCTCTACTTCGAAAAATGTGAAAGCTCATGTTAATACAGAATGATGAAATATCACCCCAGCCTTCAGTAGTTTAAGATGCCAACTCTGGTGCTGATTCATTTCTTTCTTTATTTTAAGATCTCAATTATTAGTTTATGACTGCGCATTCCCTTCAGGTAGATCGCGATCTACTAGCATGAAGGGATGGTCAATGATAGTCTAATTGGAGATTAAACTGCTGTTTTAGAGGTGAATAATAGTCGCCTTCAAAATTTACTATACTGAACATTTCTGTACTGAACACTTTCAGTTGCATCCACTGAGCCATCTACATTCCCATGATATTTATACACCTTTTTTTGTAATGAAAAACAAAATAAAAATCTTCTGTTTTGGAGTTTTTATTTCAGTGAGTGATGTGAAATAGAGAAGCATCCAAACTGAAACTGTTCAGATTCTCGCTTTGCTTCTGAATATTTTTACTAGAGAGTAATCAAAACAGTCAAGGGATATTACTATACTTTGACAGTATTCTACATAAATATAATTATAAGAAATTTAGATTTTTCACTAAAACAGTAGTTTTTCCTTCTTCATCTTATGATCGATCATTCCACATGGTGTTGCTTCTACTGACTGCCAAATATATTGCTTCACCCAGTCCCACAGCTGAGTTTTTCTCCCTGACATTGCCTCTTGGGGACATTGCTCTCAGCTTAAGGTGAACTTTTAAAAGTGCGTTTCCACTAGAACTTTTAGCTTGAGTTAACTGATTGACATTTAACATGCTTGTCAATAGCCATTATGGGCAGCTACCAAGTTTATGTTCTGGAACAAACTCTTTTTCGTTTTAGCTGTAGGGTAAAGTTTGTTTTTTTTTTCTATAAAAAACTTGCAGTGGGGTGACAGGGAGAGTCCAGCCTTGTACTTTCCAAAAGCATGCTAGGTAGTAATTGGTTCAGTCAAATGAACAGCAGTAGTGTAGATGTGATATGTTTCTCCCCAAAGTTTTCCTCGCTAGCTTATTCTCTGTTACTGGTGGTAACATCACCTATCCCTACCCCTGTCGTCAAGGCCAGCAACCTGGGATTTGGTCAACTTTGTGTCTCACCCCAATGTGTGTGAGCCTTGGTATTGGATGCAGCGTCCACAGCACCTCTGAGATACAGTTGTTTATATTCTGCAAAGCAGAAATTCTTTTCCTAGCCCTCTTTATCTCCCATTCTCTATTACTACAAACTCCTTTTCTCTAGCAACCCTGTAGTTTTCCTGCCTTTTGTCCATATAGAATTCAGCTATTGAGGTCAGTGCCCTAGCCTATTAACCTGACCACATCACACTCATGAAATTCCCCAGTTTACTTCTCTGGACTCCTAAGTGTCCATCCTATCACACTCCAATATCTTGTCCTTGTCTCTAGTGGGTTATGGAATAGAGAAAATCCCACACAATTTACTGATTCGTTTTGATGCACTGGCTGGGGGAGTAGTTAGCTGATTGCACGATTTCACAATGATTACACACTTAATTTATACAACACAATTTTATTTTAAAACTCTTTGCTACGTATATAACACTGCTTAGCTTTAAGAAACACCACAAACATTAAAAACACAATAATTACATATATCAGAAACAATGCTCCGAATGCACTTCCTTCCCAAACAATGCTATAAGAATTAGTGTTACAAAAACAACTACAATTACAACTAAAAGTTAAGTTTGAATCAATACTGTTATTTTTCATAATATACTTACAATCCTAGAATTCCGAGAAGCCAAATACCAAAATATGGTTTCATTCCTCAGTAGTACATTTTAATGGGTTGGCCTCAGTAGTACGGTTCAATAGGCTGGCCTCAGCAATACGATTCAATGAGCTGGGCTCACCAGTGATAGGACCAAGTCCCCTTCCTTCAGTCCCTTTCGGGCGCTCCGCAGCTTCAGCGTGAACTAAGGGATTCGTGTTCACGGAGAGGCTGGATTAGGTGATCAATCTAATCCGACCTTATACTTGCGATTCTTCCTTCGTTGTTCTGCAAGTGAAGTCACCTCCAAATTGGGACAGTAAGTTACAGGTTTTTATTGAGTGAGCTGCCGTCATTGGGCTCCTCCTACTCAATTTATCATACCTCCCAAATTTGGGCTCGGATCTTACTCAACAGAAATTACCTTTGTTGAGCATTTTAAAATTATTCTTGGGGAGACTTCCATATCACTGTAAATACTCTTTTACCAGTCTGGTTAAAAGGCCTTAGGCTTTGATGTCTCGGAATTTAGGACATTTGTTTTCTTTGTAAAAAACTTCTAAAGGTACAATTTAAATTAAGACTTTAAGTGAAGTCAGGACATTTCGCACGTAGCTCCAAAACAATGAGCTAGATAAGGAGATAAATCCTATCTTCTTCCTGAAACTGGCTAATGGGCAACCTTTACAAACATTCAAACTGTTTCATTCAATATGACAGTCCTCTCCAGGTGCATTAAGATGAGATGCTTTACTGTGTAGCAGACAAATTTTCTGCTCAGTAAAGTGTCACTGTCTACATAAGCATGGCAATTGGGGCACAGTAGACCAATTTACGGCACTGCTGGATAGTCCCGTCAGATACAAGTGGTATCTAGCAGTGCCGTAAATTACTGCACTTAAACGCACATGTAGATGGCGATGTCAGGATTAGTTTACTCTTGTTCAAAGCCAGAGTATATTCAGTCATATTAATTGCACATGTAGACATGCCCTCCTTTGAGAACCCATATAACTTCTTTCCTTCTCTTCTTACATGCTCTCATCTTTTTATCTTCTGCTCTACCACCCATGTCAGCCTTGAGCTCCACTTCTCATGTACATCTGTGTGCTTTCTTCACACTGACCTCTGGTTATGGAACATCCTCAATCCATGGATAAATTGCTGATCTCTCATCTTTCAAATTTCTCCTTATGATCCAGTTTCTTGCAGGCATGGTATCAGAAATGGGCAACTGCTTATGGCTGAGTTGAGGGGAGTTTTAAGGAACTGACTAGATACTTATTTACTAATAAAATACTTTGAGATCCATCAGGTTGTTCTCCTAGCCAGCCATTATATTCCCATGCTTTGATTGTCGGTAACCTCATCCCCCTTCCCCTCATGTGTTGTTTTACACTTGTTGCACCTTATTTTTAGATCTGATTAGAAGCTCTTTAGGGAAGAATATGTTTATACAGCACACAACACTGTGCAGCCACCAGCCTGACTCGAGATCCTTTGAAGCTACAATACTATAAATAGTCAGTACTTTTTACAAGCTATTTTACTGTCCTAAAGGTAGTGATTTCTGTGTGTTTGGGAGGGGAAAGGTTTTTGTTACTGCAGACTCCTTTAGCATCCCTGCAATTCACATTGTATCTGTAGTACTTAATAAAATCATAGCTCTTAATTCAATGTTTTGTTTTGTTTTGTTTTGTTTTTTTTTAAATTTGAGGGGAAACTTGTGCTTCTTCTAGCATACAGAAACTACATGTAGGCTGGTCAGCAGAGTATAAAACTATGTTTTTAGTACTTCCAACTTTTTTTTTTAAACTAGAGTACAGGGAGGAAAAAGAAGAATTCTTTCAAGGAGTTTTATTTTTAGGAGAAAATCTTCATTATATTTACATGATTGACTGTGCCTAAATCCATTGTGATACTTGCTTCTGAGATGGTCATTTTTGTTTCATTCCAATATTTCTATAAGAAAGGGAGATTTTGATTTATGACAAGGAGGTGCAGGGTGGTGGGATAACTTTTCATTGACTTTAGTGTGGCTGGCAGCAAAAATGCAACTGACCTATTCAATAGGACTGAGATGCATTTTTAGTTGCTGTGAATGTATATGAGAAGCACAGTTTGTTTGTTTTTGTTTTTAATTGATAGTATATTTATTGTCACTGAGACGCTCTCGGCCTCAGTGCTGAAACTCTCATTTAGCCTAAAATCCAATTGATTTCTATGAATAAAATGAGAATTGGGATTTTGGGAATTTTTTTTTTTAAAGATTCAATAATGTTTTAACATGTAGTTTGTCTTACTTTTTGACCTATGTCTAGGTATTTCCGTGTTGAAGTGTGAAACCCTTCTTTAACCCCATCCTTTGTCACTTGCCCCCTTTTAATTTCCTCAGTAGCTTCTGCCTTCTTTGCCCGTAAGAAGTTCAAGGTCCTTGTTCACTACTATCATATCTTTATTTGTATTGTGGTTTCAATTAAAAAACACAACCAGTTGCATCCCTGTTAGGCCCTGTCCTCTATACCATATATTCATTCAAGGCTCTGCACAACCATGATCTGGCCCTTGTTCATCTCTACATTTTCCCTCATGCAGGTAGTGTTGTCTAGTTCCTCTATTTTCAGCATTCCTTTTGCACCAAACTTTGGTCCCATTGGAAATGATAGCAAAATTCCTTGTTAAAACAAAATTCAGTCCCTCCTTTCTTCTGCCGCTTCTCAGGGTCATGCCTGGCTTCACATTTGTATCCTCTCCTTGGAACAGACCTTACCCACTTTCTTCCATGCTCTTAAGTGTCATGTCTTGTGCCTGGCCTTCCAAAGCTGATGTCCTCCATGTTGTGGACTAGAGTAGGACTCTACACAGTTGTACTTGAATGCCCGATTATTGGTCTTTTGTGTAGATTCTACTAAATGAGATTGCAAACTCATCAGTGTGAGGACTTGGTCCTTTCTGTTTCTCTGAAGTGTCTTTTGACAACAGTGCCTCTGTACATGTGCTGACTATGAAGATAAGAAATTGTAACCATATTATTCAGGTTTGCTCTTCAGTATAGTCATAGGCAGATCCAGGATTTTGTAAAGGGAAGAGCTCCAGAGCTGCTCTTGTCCTACTCCAGCCAGGCAAGGGGAGATGGTTTCACCAGCAGCAATGGTGGTAGCGGGAGGGTTCACCTGTTCCTCCCTCTGCTTTTGGGCTGGTGGTGAACATCTGGGGGGACTGGGCAGAGAGGGGGAACCTACTTGCTGCTGCTGGTGTCAGCTAAGCCTAGCAGGCCTCATGCAGCCCAACTGGTATGGGGCAAAAGTGGCTTCTGGCATTCCCTCCTACCCCTGGTCAGGTAGGGACAGTGGTAGTGGTGGGCAGGGGAGAGAGAGGGAGATAATGGAAGGGGAGGAGACATACAGCTGAGCATGGAGTTGAAGGGGGAATTTTTATCTGCTTCAGGGGCTTAAGTCCCTGTGTGCTGCTTGTGCAGTCAGATCTAAAAGAGGGATGCAGCTGTGATATTGCACCCCTTCTGGATCTGCCCCTGAGTATAGTTACCTCTCCAGGGAGATCTGTTATGTTAATGTGGAGTGTCAAATTAAAGTGGATTGGGCTGGCTAGGGAGCTTTGCTGCTAATGTCTCTCTATTCTTTTAGGTTAACTGTAATGGCTTTACAATCGAAGATGAAGAACTGTCTCACCTGGGGTCAGCAGTATTTCCTGAGTAAGCTGGATTTTACTTTTTATGGAATATGCATATTTATTTTTAAAAATCTCTAGTGCATATTAGGGGATGTTGTACTCAAATTGAATTAAAATGTAAATTAAGATATGCCTTTCTATTAGTATTTTTTTCTAATAAAATCCTTAATTTATCTTGCATTTCACTTATCGTGGAGTGTCCTACAACCCACTTTAATAAAACACTCAAGGATATGTCATGTTTACTTGACTGTAAGGTGAAGATTTTTTTTCTCCCAGTCAGTATGAGGAGGAAAAGCCTCTTGTCTTGTATTTGCATACAAGGAAATCTCATTGAATACCTTGGCTATCATTAAACTGCTGCCAGAAGCTGCATGTGCTCAGAAATGGAAGCCAATTATGAAATTAATTAATTACAGCCAACACTGAACATGCTTGTGAAACACATGGCCCACATTGGGCAAACATACTGATGGGAACCTTTCTTTGTATGTGGCCCTTAAAAAAAAAAAAAAATGGGTAGGTGTTCCCTCCCTAGGGAACTGGCACCAGGCCTGGAGGTACTGCAATACCAGGCCAGCACTAGGAGTGCCAGAGTCAGCCCTGACACCCCTTCAAATGCTGCTACATCAAATGCTACTACATTTGATTTTAGCCAGAAAGACTGAGATGCTGATGGAAACCTACCACAAAGATAGGTTAGTGCAGCCCATTTGAATAACATATAGTACCCATTGTGCTCAGTCCTCCTCAGTGCTGACTCTTTTTTTCAACTCATGGTGAACCATTACATTTCAACTTCCCCTTCATGCATACAGCTGAGCAGTGCCTTTCTTTCCCATTTCCATTGACTCCTGTTTCTTTACCAGCCTTAAATGCCTAGCAAATATCATTTAACCTCCATGTAGGTAAGATGCTCTGTTACCCCCTCTCTTGGCCTGTTGTTTGTGCTTAATATGACCCTGCCTTCCATGAGTTAGAGCTGGACCAGGTGATCCCACACCTCATCTGCATGTAAATTTTTGGAGGATCCCAGGACTCGTGACAACATCTGGTTCCAGTTATGAGTTGAGGGGCTAATTAGCACATAGATCCTTTGTGGGGCTGTTTGGAGCACATGCATATACTGAGCAGTGCTGGGCTATGGGGTCACCAAGGATTGAAAGGCTGTTGATTCTACTGAGGCCCAGCTCACTAAACTGTATGATAAATCATGAGACTTTTGGCTTTGGACTAATATCTTGAATAGTTTGTACTATGTATAAGTAGGTACACAAGTGCTGCTTAAAAGTGTGTTTATGGAATACCTGTGCTAAAACTTGTGGCAGTTTGCAAAAAGGTAAAATGCATCAATTCTGGACGGACTTAGTTGGTGGGTACCTGTAGTAATTTGCCTTTATGCAAATTACTGCAGGTATGCTTATTCAAAGTCAGTGTTTTCAGGTTTGGCCCTCATTTCCATGTGCTCAGGGACAGCAGGGTCTGACAGTAAGGGGGGGAAGGGGCTTTAGGGAGAAGTTGTGGGGGGCAGAGGTCAAGAAGGCTACCTGTTCCTCCCCCCCCCCCCCCCCTTTTTGTTTTTATTTCCCCTGCTTTAGCAGTGGGAGCAGGACAAATTCAAAGCAAATCTCCAATAATTACATTCTGTACTTGGAGAATTATAACAACTGTATACATTTTTAATACATAGAATCTAATTATTGGGGGATTGACTTATGTTCAAGGTCCTTTTATATTCGAGCAAATATGGTAGTTTATGATTTCATACAGTGTTGATTTAAAACCTAATGGGTTCATCTGAGTTGCACTATGAGTTTGTTTTGAAGTCATAAAACTCAAGTTGTGAACTAAAATCCAAGATTCATATGAACTAGTAATTTGCTAACCAGTGGTCTTTGCAGATGACTGATGTAATGGTGCCTACTCTGAGCACCTACAATGGAACAGCTGATGGTATCCCATCTAGATGCAGATGTAATATTCCCTGGTGTTTAATGTGCGTCTGTGTTCAGGTCCAAAGCTGACGAAAGCCCTCCCCTGTCGGAATAGCTGCATCCACACCAAGGGTGGAGTAAAGTAGGTTTAGAGTGGATATCAGGAAAAAGTTCTTCACTGTTAGAACAGGTCCAGGGAGGTGATTCTACCTCTCTACATGGCACTGGTCAGGCCACAGCTGGAGTACTGTGTCCAGTTCTGGATGCCGCAGTTCAAGTGGGATGCGGACAACCTGGAGAGGGTCCAAAGAAGAGCCACTCATCTGATTGGAGGCCTGCAGGGAAGGCCCTACGAGGAAAGGCTAAGGGACCGTAACCTCTTCAGCCTCTCCAAGAGAAGGCTGAGAAGGGGACCTTGTGGCGGCATATAAATTCATAAGGGGAGAGCAACACGAAGTAGGTGATGATCTGTTTACCAGGGCACCCCCTGGAACAACAAAGAACAATGGCCATAAGCTACTGGAGAGTAGGTTTAGACGGGACATTAGAAAAAAGTTCTTCAAGGTCAGGGTTCCCAGGATCTGGAATGGGCTTCCAAGGGAGGTGGTGCTCTTGGGGGTCTTCAAGAGGAGACTGGACAGGCACCTGGCTGGGATCACATGATCCCAGGTTTGGTGACCCTTTTCTTGCCTGCCAGGGGCAGGGGGTTGGACTAGATGGCCCACTGAGGTCCCTTCTGACCCTAGAATCTATGAAAGAGTGAGGCAGTGGAATAGACTGCCTAAGGAAGTTGTGGACTTTCCACCACTGGAGATGTTCAGCAAGGTTGGACAGCTACTGGTCAGGGATGACACGGGCATAGCTATGGGTGTTTCATGCTTCTGGGCTTTGTTGGTTGCCACATGGGGCTGGGAGGAAATCTTGTGCCCTTGACCCCCAACCTTTCTGCTACGTGTCAAGGCTGTGCTTTTATTTTTTTGTCTTTTAAACCTTCCGCAAAGGCATTAGGTGTTGGCTGCATAAAAAGTGCAGAGGGTTCCAGAGGTGACATTTTCCCCCCCATGCGTGTTCTCACCTCGCATTCATCCCTGTTCTTCAGTCTGTGTGTCCTCACCTGTTGCTCTCTGAACAAGTGATGAGTTCTTGCTCAGCGTTATGCCCCTCAGGTTTTTTTTTATAAATCTCTCTACACTCTCAGATGTTTTAACATGATATATTTTGTTGCTATGCCAGTAGAAAAAATGCACAAACTCTGTCAGCTCTGCAAATAAACTAGAGCTAGTAGTGTTGCTCATGGAAGAGAGCAGACAACTCTCTAGTGCTGAAGAGGAAAAAAGGTGCCATGAAGCTTCGGGGCCCGATCACCAGTGGTCCTGGTGAATATGGCCCTTGGCAGCAAGCAAGGGCTTTGCAGATTCCACTTGGGTCACTCTCATCCTGTAGCAAAGAAAACTGCTGACAGCATCTGTTCATTATAAGTCCTGTACTGAAGGCAGTGCTGAGCCCTGCTCCCATTACTCCATTGAGGAGCAGAGAAAAAGACCTCCTGAGTATTGTTTCACTATCCTCACCTTCAACACCATCACTTCCGTGTTTAGCTGCTCAGCAAGTCTGTGAATTGTGAATTTTTCTTTGCTCTGACCAGAAGCAATTCTATATTTGCTTTGTGGATAAAGAAAGTATGTTAGATAATGTATGCAATAAAACACACACACTTTGTCATAGCCCAGCGTTAAGGAGGAGGTACTTTTCTCCCAGCAGGTAAGATTTTTTCCTTCTTCCACAAGAAGAAAAACTAATTCTTCAGTTTTAAACTTACGGTAAATTTGTAGTGTGCTTTTGTGCTCGTTAAAGTTAGTTGGAATATTACCACAGATCTCGCTAGTACAAACAACTAACTCTTGTTTCTCAAGTTTATCTATGTGGCCTTACAGTAATACTTAAAAATTATACTTACAGGCTTTCCTTCCAAAAAGATCCCCAGACACTTGCCAAACTTAGTATGCTTTACTTCCCACTGGTTGATTTGCCACTTCCTTTAATGCGAACAGGAGCAGTCCTTGTATGCATGTCACTGGACGTGTCTACACGTAACGCTATTTTGCCATGGCAACACAACCTACTGTCAGCGGGCAAACCTCATGATGCCACAGCTATGTTGCTGTAGTGATGCACTCCACCATTTTAGCTCGTTGCTAGGGCAACGTAGTGCCTAAAAATAACCGTGTGCAGTACCAGCTGTTACTATACCATCTTTTAGTACTTCCAAAAGTAACAATGGCGCCATAGCAGCATGTTTAGATGTGCCCACTCAATTACAGTTCTGTCTGCATGGCAGGAACTAACTGAGACTCAGCACGCTGTATAATAAGAGTTGGGAGGTCAGAGGACCAGTTTGTCTGATCCTATTGGTATTGCTCTTGTGTAAATATTAAAATAGCAATTCTGTAGCCTTTGCCGATTTGTTACATTCATATTAAACCCTGGAATAAAAACATCTGAGATAAGGTGACTTGAACTTTGAAGCTTGTTTGTCTGCTGAAGTGTTGCTTAGCTTTTGGTCTGTTTCTTTGAGAAGAAGTAAGTCTGGCTTTTTTTTTGTTGTTGTTGCTTTTTACAGTGTTGCATTGATGAATCACAGTTGTTGTCCAAATGTAATTGTAACATATAAAGGGACCTTGGCTGAAGTCAGGGCTGTCCAAGAGATTGAACCTGGGGATGAGGTAAATCCATTTTATATGAGTATTTTATTGCAGTATTGTGCATGTGCCCCTGCATGGCAGGGAATCCAGCTTTTCGTGTTTATTCCATTTAAAGGTGAGTGAAGGTTCTGAAAATGCTCGCTTAAATGTTCAGGGTGGGATTGGGTGAGATGTGATCCTGCAAGGCAGCATAATTTTGGGAGAAGAGCAGTGGAATGGAAATGGGGAAACCAGAATTCAATTTCTGATAACAGTTCATCACTTTGATATGGTTCCTTTGTGCCTCAGTTTGCTAGTTTGTAACCTGGGCAGAATAACAACCCCTCAAAGTTGTTTTGTGGTTTAATTTGTTGATTATTTGCCTGTTGCATTGAAGTCTCCAACTGAAATGAATCTGAATATACGCAAGCTATTATTATTTCTATAACTTCCATTATAACAATACTACAGTAATGCTGTAGAAGTATGCAGAAGGATGCAACATAAAATGGGGGACCAATTTCTGTCTAGAAAGATGATCCACATAATATGGAATACATCCCTGCCAGTTTGGATAAAATACAGCCTTGCATGACCCCAGATTGTTATGACCCCTTTGACTGTAGGTGGGGCCAGACTTCCGGTAAAGGGCTGGATATATTTTCCTTAACCAGAATAAGGCCTGTTAGGTTACATCCAGCCTGTCTGAGTCTCAGTCAGTGATCTTCACTAGTATGTCTTGACCAGCAAAGAACACTATTATCTCCAGTTTGACTTGGACAGAACTGGGGAGAGGTGGTCACCCATACCTGTGTGTGACAATAATAGGGTTTTATATATTTAAATGATATGCTGTGTGTAGGATTTTACAATTACTTCCCTGTTAATAGCACTTGAATGGTAAAGGCTAACCTGGTTAAATTGAGTTCAGTATTAATTTTGGTTGTGATTACCAAGCATATAAAATGAGATTTCAGCCAGTAAAAGGAAGACAGCTTTTGGGATTAAATGATTTACAATAGTGGAAGGTTTCTCACCTGAGTAAACGAGTCAGGTGTGTGGCTCCTTGCTGAGAGTAGGGGATATGGTCGTAGGCTGATGTTAAAGGATTAGACAATGCTGCAACCCAGTTTTGTTACTTCGCATGAGACAGTTAAAAGCTGGTAATTTTGTGTGACATTCTGGATAAACTTCTCTCTCAACTGGGCTTGCTGTCTGAAGTTAAAATTGAACACGTTTCTTGACATGTTACTTGGCTGAACTCTGATTTTTACAGAAAGACTAATAACTTTTGGTAGAAAATTCCCCAAAACAAACTGTTAGCATATTTCATAGTTGTTCTTCTAACATATAAAAAACTTGCTGTGTGCCAACAAGGACTGAGTAGGAATAAATGATTTTCCTTGTGCAAAACAGTCACATGGCCTGTGTCCCCATCTTCTGGTTTATTCTTGCTATTGCATCAGAAAATTGTTAGTTTCCATTGTGTAAAGTTCAGTTCCTATTTCTTGTGTGTTTTGTGCCTGGAGGAAAAATTGAGCATCAGTACAGAATAAAGACAAGCATAAATAGTAAATGAAATTGACTGTGGTGTTCAAAGGCACAGTAAAGAATGGATCAGATTGAGTACAGCAGTTCAGACTTAATTATAAACAAGAGCATTTTAATTAATTTGTTTCAATGCAGTGGTAGACTGTAAAGTAGTCCACTGTTGTGTAATTGTATGCTTCTTGGGGAGATGCCTTTTAAAAAGATGGAACAGTTTGATTGCAGGAGTTTGTGACAAAAAATACTTTTCTGTACTGTACTCAAAAAATAAATAAATAAATAAATAAAAATCATAGCCTTTTTAGGTTAATAGTCACCCTTTCTAGAACTGAAGTACTGGAAGCCAGGTTCTATTCCAACAGTTTGTTGCATAAGTAGACTTAGTTTTAAGTCCACGCTACCCATGTTCCCAAAAATCAGTTCATGGTAAAGTTGAATGGATCTTCCTCTTCCTTGCTGCTTTCTAGTGACCCAGTATTAAGGGTCAGATAATGATGACATGTTATAAAAGTAGATGTATTAGTAGATATTCAGGACTTGAACAGGGTTAAATAGAATCTATTTAAGTCGACTTAAATGCATAATAGGTGGGATAGGCCCTATGTCTCTTCAGGAGAGAAGGGATCTCTTTTTAAAAAGGATTCTTGCCTTAAACCAGGAGTGTCAAACTCACTTTAGTCATCTGGACCAGAGGGGGCTACTTCTGCAGTGCAGCAGAGCCCACTGCACTGGACTTGTGTTGCACAGCCCTTGCTTGCCGGCCTGCTGCTACAGGCCATATTCACCAGAACCACTGGTGATCAGGTCCGTATGCTCCATGGCCCACTGAGCCCACAGGCCATATGTTTTGACACTTCTGCCTTAAAACTTAGAAAGTTGCTAGGGAATATTTGGGTGCCCAACTTAAGTCCTGTTTTTTTTTTTCTTTTTTCCCCAGGAAGTGTTGAGCCCCAAGCCTCTGAAATTAAGGATGCTTTGAGGTATCAGAAGCTGAGCACCAAAATAATTGTAATCATCTAATCTAGCAGGAGCCTGAGATGTCACTCTTAAAACTGTGACATATTTGAAGAGCTTTCTCTTCTATACATTAGATTGTTGCCTACCTTGGATCTCAGTCACATTCATTGTTGGAGGAAATTTTGCTGTTGGTAGAAGGAAGAAGCATTCCTTTGGCTGACTGCATTTCTAAAGGGGCAAAGGTTTGAGGCTGCCAACAGATACTGAATGTAAGAATTAGTTCAAAGGAAATTGATTAGGTGGCAGGTGATGCAGTAACAGGGATATGGCAAAATGTACAGGCATATGACAGTTTAATCACATTGAGTATTAATTCTATGTAAATGGATAATGTATTTGCATTCATATGTGGTGGGTATATTGTACAAACATATTGATTAATTAGAATGGTTTTCTTCTAGGTTTTTACCAGTTATATTGATCTGTTATACTCCACAGAAGATAGAAATGACCGTTTAAGAGACTCCTATTTCTTTACCTGTGACTGCAGGGAGTGTACTACTAAAGAAAAGGTAATACAACAAAAGTAAAGAAGTACTTTCCTCATAAGCTAGTGGTATACCATAGGCTTGTTTTCTATTGCATGAATTGGAAAGTAGTAGTGTGTTTTATTATAAAAGCTTTTCCATATCATTTCTCGCTACTGTAACTGTGAACTATAATATAATGGAATATCCTGGTAAGTATTTAGTTTAAGGACTTTAAGTAAAGTGCCAAGTAAAAATATAGACTTTTAGACCAAGGCCATTCCATCAGTTCTATCCATTGATGGGAGTTTAAATACAAAAATGGGTTTTATGCCAAATTCAGGATTCTTTCCTTTTCCCCCCAGAGTTGCAAAACTTGCTTGTGTTCATTGGATCATTTAGAGGTGTTCCAGAACGTAACAATAGAAATTCAAGAAGTCCCAGTGCAGTTGATGATACCAGTAAAGTTGCTGAATGATTCATTCTTTTTCTTTTTTTCTTCTGTTACCCCAGAAGTACCAGGAGGGTTCTGCTGGAGTTTAGGACTTAATCCTAAACCTACGGATGTCTATACTTTGGCTGCTGACAGATGTTCATTTAAAGGCACAATAAGCTCTGATCCTCAGTCCCAACAATCATGCCTCCTGCCATGCCACACATGCATGGCAAGATGTGCAATATTGGGATTGTGGTCAGATCCAAATTATGCCGTACTTGCCAGTGCAGGGGGAACCTAGGATCATGATCCTGGACCCCCTCTGTATCAGGAAATTGAAAGCTTGTGCCCAACAATCACCTGATGGTCAGCTGACTGTGGAAATTTATTGGGGCTGGTTTGAGCAGTGGTGTGGTCTGTGTGGCCTTTGCTGGGGCCAGCTGAGATGCCAAATTGGTCCTTCTGCCACATGTCCAATTCAAGGCATGATGGAAACCATCCACAATACTCTTATGCATTTTGTGGAATAATTTTATGGCTTATTTCTTGTTCTATTGTGCCATTAGTTGCCTGAATGTGTGGCCTGATTACTATTTAAGACACAATTAGCTGGTTAATTGCATCTTAAGTGTAACATCTGCCAAGGGTCTTTGATACTAAAGGGTGCAGCCTGAGGATCATTTGTGCTGAATAGTTATCCCAGCATGTTGACGTGGATTATTTTTTCCTGTGTAACAGCATAAAAATTAATGTATTGCACAGCTCTGTTCCACACCTATCTGTCCTGGGATATAATGATGAGACAGCCTCCTGTAAAGCAAAGTATTATTTTGTTTACAATAAAAATAGTTTAGGTAAATGCCCGTGCTTGTTTTACTGTTTGTCAGGCAATTTCCACATGGGAATCCAGGTAGGTATGAACATCTTATAAGCTGCTCTCCCTCCCATTCATACTCTCCACCTGGAATATTTCTGTCATCTTAACTGAGGAACCATTTCTCCCTCATGCTTTAGATGGCACCTCTTTTAAGGCTGTTCAGTCCATCTGATCTCCAGTCTCCTGCTTAGCTAAACAACCAACCTCTCTTTTTTATTTATTTATTTTGCTTAGGAGATGGGGGGCAGGGGGGCATGCAGCTACACATGTACTTTACTGCCGAGTAGACTAATTAGCTCTGCAGTAAAGCATTGCTGTCTACAAGTGCACCAGTATTAGAGCACAGTGTGCTAATTAACTCTGCCGTAAAATATTATTGTCAGGGACAGTACTATTTTATGGCAGAGTAATTCACTTTGATCAAACGTGCGTGTAGATGGTGACTGCGGGTGATAATTGTACCCAGTCAGCCCAGGGAGCATGGGGCCAGGCCTGTGCCTGCCACCTAGCACAGCTCTGCACATTTGGTACTCTCCTGCCCCAGCCAGCTTTTTCCCTGCTGACCCCCCTCAGCCTGCTGCCAGCTCAGGCCTGCTCCACCCTGGCTCAAAGTGCTGCTGTCCCAGGCACACATGTAGACACTGCGCCTAGGAGCAGTGTACTCTGGCTCAAAGTACTCCAAAGTTTATCAGTTTGCATTAATTGCACGTGCAGGTGCACCTAGGATATAGGATCCTTGAAGTGAATAGCATCCTTCAGAGCTTGCAATAGCTCCATGAACTTAAACTGAGTTTCCTGAAATATAAACATAGAGTAAAATCTTGGCTTCATCAAAGTCAATGAGTTTTGCCTGTGGATATCACTGGAGCTGGTGTTTCACCTCAACAGTGTACCTGTCACGAAATAACCTGTCATTTTGGCCCTTCAGGTTATCTCCCACTTAGAAAACTGTACACCCTTGCCAGTAGCCAACATGAAACAATTGGCGCATGATGGGAAAAAGTTCTTCAATAAATTGGGGCTTATGCTGCAAATGATCATTTCCAAATTGCGATAGATTAATAAACTGGACTGAAAGCTAACAGTGGCTGGAGCTGAACAGCAGAAAATCAGCCTCTTGCAACTGAACTTGTGAAGATGCCCTTTTTTCTGTAAATCTGAAGGGAAAGTGTGGAATATAGAATGGAATCTATTTTCCATTGAGTTAAATTTCTTGATGGACCTAGAGTGTCAGGATTTTTAGTTTGGAGATTTAGATAACTAACTTCAATAACAAGTAGTGAAAATTTTGAAAATGTGAAGAATGTCTTCAGTGACTGGAGAAGCACCCAAGTACTGTTGTGAAGGGCACTGTACAAATGTGTATTATAACAATTCTGCAAAACTAGGGATTATTGACAGGAGGGAGATTCCAGATCAGTTGATCAAGTAGATGGGGAACCGTAGACATGTCCTGTGCTGTCTCATTTGAAAACACTGAGATTGAAGAGTTTGAAATTCTGTGTTCAGCTTTGTGCAGTAGGTGAGACTAGATGATAATTATGGTTTCTTATGGCTTTAAGATCCATGAAATCTTTCTAGTATAACCAAAAGCAGATTTTTCCCTTATGGCTCTAATTTTAAATGATGGGAAAGATGAATTGAAAGAAGCTTAATGCAGTTTTTTTGTAGTTTTGATTGACTCTTTCATGTAGGTTGCACTGTATGCAGTAGATCTCGTGAAAATTCACTTTGTTAGTTTGCAGACTGTAATGCACACAGTGCTAGACAGTCTCTGTCCTTTTTAAAAATCTGTATCTTTATCTAGGCTCGAGACACCTGACACTAGTAATTCATGCTGACAAGTAAACTGGAGTTCACAATAGGAAACAGCATTACAGGGTAGTAATTTGGGAGCTTCTGGAAGTTCTGTAGAAAGCATCCTAACTTCCAAATGCTGATTCTTTTTACCCCTTAATTTAGGACATCCCATGGCCTTCCTGAGGGGGCAAATGGGCAGTTGCCCATTGATGCAAAGATGCGATCCATCAGGATGTGTCTGTAGTAGGTGAGAAGACCATTACAGAAATACTGACTTCATGGAATGGTTTTCTGTCTCAGGGTGTAGCAGACCCCCAAATCACAAGTGATTCTGGGAAAACCATTCTGCCACATCAACTTATGAAATTCTCCCTGTGTTATTGGTTAGACCAGTGCATATTGGGATTAATGAGGCACTTGTTGTCCAGTACTATCTGAGCATTCAGATAGTAAATTATCAAACTGTCTGAGCTTCTGAGTAATTCCGTCATGAAAGCACTGCCTTTAGCGAGACCTCTTCCTCCACCACAAAACAGGCCTGTTTGTTTCTTTTCAGTGGAATGGGAAGCTGCTAGTTGGCTCTGAGCTGAAAATCCTACCCTAGTTGCAATCGGCTCATACAACCAACGTTTGTAAAACACCTTGGAATGGCTTTTGCAGGTAGTCATTTTCTAGGAATTTGGAAGCTCAGTGCATTCCCACTAAAGTTTTATGGAAAAATTGGAGGTGTATAATTTACCTGTTATATATTTTTTCCATCTAGAGACATCAGTAATTCCTTCTGGGGGAGCCAGGGTCCCATCCATGCCTTTGAGTTCACTGTGATGGTTTTTGAACCCCTATGTATTCATGTACTTTTGTTGCCTTGGATTGCATTTTTAACTTTTCTCTGTTTCTTCAAGGATAAAGAAAAACTGGAGATCCGCAAATTGAATGATCCTCCATCAGCAGAAGTTGTACAGGGCATGATCAGATATGCCAGAAACATGATTGAAGAATTCAGGAGGGCCAAACATTATAAATATATCCTTTGCCTTGCCTTGTCTCAATCTTGCCGTTTCTGGCTTGTCTTGTAATTCTTAAATATTTGATGTCAGGGTACTTGTTTGCTTGGAAGCTTCTTGGGGGAGTTTTTATAAGTATTTAGAAACTAGACTTTCTTGTTCTCTTTTTTGTTTCTGTAAGAAATTGAAACTACTTTTCTTTGGCAGGGTTGGGGCAAGAAAGTGTGTGGGGGTGTGTATGTGTAAGAAAGAGACTGTCGGGGTATTGTATTGCTGCACTTGGTCTGTATGGATAGTGTTGTGCTAAAGGATGCTTATTTCTCTTTTAGAGTGGTATAGTTCCTGTCTTGGTTCAGGCACATTGTAACAGATAGAAAGTAAAAGATAGATTCATCACACCCCAGAGCTGGCTGGGTTTTTGGCTAATCTACATTTTAGCACTTTTTAAGCCCTTAGTGGAAAAATAAAGAACTGAGGTGGCACTGAGACCAAACCAAATCTTTAAAATGTGTTGAAGTGGTTAATAAAGTTAATGAGAGCACATTTAAAAGAAGCCAAATATTGGTGGCCTAAAGATAAGGGTCAGTGCAATAGGCAGCAGTGTTTTAGGCCTGTAGCCAAGCCATTGAGGCTAATTACTAACCACAAAAGTTTCCTTTCTTTGATGTTCATGGTGAGTCTGTCAGTCCTTGTTATAGGTCATAATATTTGAACCAGCCTAAGACCTGGGTGACTTTTTATGCCTATTTACACGAGGTCTGCATTTAGTCCTCTGGTTTCTCTGCCTATATTGCAGCAGTTTGGCCCTTTGGAATACTGTCTGGGCACTTAAAACGGCAGTCCATGGATGCAGAGGGAGCAGGGGCCCACAGCTGATGTTGGTGTGTCTTTCTAGCTGACATGTCTTTCCAGTTGACCTCACCTAAATTAGATTTGGGCTGCATAATGTGAAGGGGTAATGACTGAAGATAGAATTTTAATGATAAATATGTTTATAGGAAGTGGGGAGTGAGTGGGAACAGTGCTGGTGCAACACAGAGGGACAGCAGCATCTCTGTGGAGCAGCAGGTGTGAGCACATTGGAGCCAGTAAAAATAAAGCTGATCCCTGTATGCCTCGTTACATGCTGAGTCTGGCTTAGCAGTGGGCGAGATAAGTAGGACCCATAGAAATCTGTTTCCACTGATAATTAAATTGTAAATTCTTCAGGACAGGCATTGTGTCTTTAGATGTGTTGCATGGCACCTAGCAGAGCTATTCCTCAGTTGTGATGGGAGCCTGTGGATGCCCACGTAATAGAAACATGAAGTATAACAAAAAAGATTGTTTGAGCAGATTAACCATCCACCTGAACTGCTTGGTGACCTTGATGCCACTGTGTGACAGGAGCACAGCTCGGGTTCAAATGTAAGCCGGCTAACAATTACATTAAGGAGGAACTGGTCAGACTATACAAAAGGAGGAGAGAAAAACAGCTAGCTGATAAGCCAAAAAGAGTTGTGCTGGGAGGAAAAAGGCTTGTTTAATGTTCCTGGATGGAGGCACTCAGGGTTTTAATTTTTTAATTAAGAAAATTACCTTTGGAATGCTTAGCAGGGGTGTGTGTGCGTGTGCTGGTGCATATGTGCAATATACGAGCACTTCCTGAGCCCTTCCAAATGCTGTAAAAACTAACTAATCTTCACAGTGCCCAAAATGCTATTCCTTGCATAAACTGAAGCACAGAGAAGTGAAACTGCAAGTCCTTCACAGAGCCTGGATTGATAAGATCTCTGGAGTTCTTGAGTTTGGATTTTATCCTGCATCCTTTCTGCTTAGTACAGACATTTGCAGTGCCAGTTACTATGAAGAGTAAAGAGTTGGGGTGAAGTCCTGGCTCCACTGAAATCAGTTGGTGTTTTGCAGTTCATGGATGCCAAGATTTTACCCTAATATGGACAGTCACAGCTCCTGAAGTGTGTTTGAGATAGCTGAACTCTCAACACTAAATACTCAGCATTCATCTAGTTTTGAAATGATTACACATTATTTGTTCAGACCTTGTTGCCATTTGAGTTTTATACTTTAACAGCAAGGTGTCTGTGTAGATCAGGTTTGAGTCCAGTAGCACTACAGCTTTTTGGTTCGTTGGTCATTTTGGAGGCAGAAGGAAAAAATAACTCTTGCCATTCATTGCAGAGCATTGCCATGAATTGCCATGAATTTTGATGTGGAGAATACTGAAGCATTTGTGGGGCTAAGTGAAACAGGCTACTGAGTTGCACCTCCTTTGGACCAAATAAGCTCTGTAGTTCCCCTTTTCCTAGGGATGAGTAAGAAAGGAGCTGGGGGAATTTATAGACCTATTCCCCCACCAAATATGCCACATTACTGAAGAAGTCTGCATTAAGATCTCCAGTCTGGGTTCTGAAGTGGTGGGGGAGGGGGTGAAGGAAAGGGAGAGAGGGAGTGGGGAAGTCATGCAAAAAAACCCCACACTTTATCTGGAGTCACTGAGACTTGGAACCCCTCAATACCATTTTAGAATAGAGTTGTATCTAGGGCAGCAGTTTTCAGCCTGTGGTGCATGGACCCCTGGGGGGCCACAGACTTTGTCTAAGGGGTCTGCAAAAGATGACTATGATCAATCAAAAGTGTGCAAATACCCACACTTACAATTCAAAGGGGTCTGCACCTCCATTTGAAATTTTTTTAGAGGTCTGCAAATGAAAAAAGGTTGAAACCCACTGACCTAGACAATAGCTTCTGTCCATTCTTCGCCAGATAAATACAAGGTGAATCTCCTTTACCTGTATAGCAGCAGTATTCAATTAGAGACTATTCATTGTATTTTCCTTGACTTCGTGGTACCTCCTAGTGAATTACTGGAGGTTTGTGAGCTTAGCCTGGACAAAATGGGCTCAGTGTTTGAAGACAGTAATGTTTACATGTTGCATATGATGTATCAGGCTATGGGAGTCTGTCTCTACATGCAAGACTGGGAAGGTGCATTGCGCCATGGGCAAAAAATTATCAAACCATACAGGTAATTTTTGAGGCTGCCTTTTTAATTATGCAATGCCTTCATATAAACATGTATTTTAAACATAAGGACAGACATTTACCTGATTGCACAGTGTATAAATGCACCACACATGATGAACTGCTTAGTAGTGAAATGCTGTTACAAATCCTGTTTTAGAACTGCCCATTGAGCCAGATTCTGATCAGCATAACTGCAATCGGAGCACGGCCCGAGGTATTTAGCAGTAGGGCTGTGTGAAGCTTCAGTTGCTGATTCGATTTGGCAGAGATTTGGCCCTATTTGGTGGCGGAATCTCCGAATTGAATCAAGCATCCGACGTAGACACAGCTTTATGTGGCGTTTTTTTTTTTTTTCTACATACCTCAAGGTACCAGGCAGCTCGTGAATACTGTGATGGTGGGGCGGATGGAGCGTTCCATGGCAGCACGTGGTGGGGTCCCCAGCGCGCTTGGCAGCGGACCCATAAGTAGACCAGAAGCATTTTCGGTCCAGTTCTGGGTCTGCCACAGAGTGTGCGGGGGACCCTCCCCTTTCCCCCCCGGCTCAGCAAATGGTGCCTCCTGGGTCTGGGTCCCCCCACAGCTGATCACCAAGCTGTGAGGTGCGGGTGCTCCTGTGGGTTGCTCCATCCGCCCCAGCATCCCAGTGTTCATGAGCTGGGCCTGGTACCTCAAGTTATGGCTGAATCGCTGATTCTCCAAATCAGCATTGAATCTTCAGATTTGAATTCGGCTGAATCGAATCGGGGCAGTGATCCGAATCACTGAATCGAATTGCTGTCCCCCGATTTGGGCTGAATCCAAATCGAATACAGCCCGTTTCGCACACCCCTATTTAGCAGCACTTGTCTTTCTGAAATTCCTGTCCCAGAATCAGAATGCTACAGGTTGTGTAATTAATATGCATAATATTATTATGAATTTGACTCTTCCAATTGGTTCACCTTTTTCATTACCACACCAGCTATTGCAAATAGTTAAAATAAGGCTGTTGGAAGGCTGGTTAGCATGGACTGAGCAGTAGGGGGAGCTGGTGTAAAATTTAGCTCTTCTTGCTGCAACTGAGTGTATCAACACCTAATGTCCTTGGCCTCCACTGCATGAGCTGGGGAAAATGTACTAGCTCAGGTTTCTTGCAGGGGGCAGTGTAGCATACAAAAACAAACACCCAGAAATTATCTTGGAGAGGAAAAGTATGATCTCCTAATCTTTGCTGGTTTCCCCCAGCCCACCCTAGGCTAGGCTTATAGTGGAGACCTAGTTTGTTATGCACTAGGTAGATGCTGGGGTCAGATGTGTGAACAGCAGCTGTCTCCCCAGTAAAGTCTCATCTTAAGGCCTGATTCTTTCCAGCTAGAAGAGTGCAAGCAAAGCTTTTTCTTTGGAGCTGATGCCAGTGTAAAGTTGGAGATTATCTGTCAGGGAGCAGTGGTACAGAGAGCGAGCCAGCACATTTTCTCTGGGGGTGAATACTATTTATCATCCCCATGACTTGCCTAGTTCCCGCTGGCTCACAGCCTAGCATTCCAGGTCAGCTGCAGCCCCTTCCTTGTGCTGCAATTGCAGTCATGATATACATGATAAATGCTCTGTGAATGCTTCATCTCTCCCAGATGCTGACAAAATCATGCCTTTTGCAATCAGGAGAGTGGCTCGCACTGTAGGTACAGGGTGGCTTAGAGCATTGCTAATGATAAAGCGACTTGTACCCTTTTAGCTGGCCAGATTAAATCCAGTGACTGCAAGTCACTGCCATCTGACAGTTGCTCAGAGGTCTGTGGTACTTGAAATGAATTTGGTGGCTTCAGTCCAGTTCCCAGTGGACAGATGTCGCCATCACATGAACAATGGGCACTAACCGTTGGCAGATGCAACAGAGAGGGCAAGGAGAATGAGCCAGCTTCTTACTCATTGAGCTGGGTAGGGTTTAAGGGAAAGGCTGTGAAACTGTTTGCAGGATGTGATAAAGTCCAATCTTTCTTTTCCAGCAAACACTATCCATTATATTCTCTCAATGTTGCCTCCATGTGGCTGAAATTAGGGAGGCTCTACATGGCACTAGAAAACAGAACTGCTGGAATGAAGGCTCTAAAAAAGGTACTTCCATCATATTGTGTAATTAGAGTGATTTAACTAAGCCTAACTGCTTAGTGATTTAACTAAGCTAACTGCTTCTTAACAAGAAAATGTAGCATGCATTAGTGCAGCAGCTCTTAATGTTCAGCCTGTTCTTTTAATTTTCTGTGAAACTGTGCAATTTCTACCCTTCTGTTTCAGTGCATTTGTGTAATGCTAGCTCTGTTCACAATGGGCCTTCAGGATACTCTCACTTCATAATCCTGCAGTGTGTGGGCATGTCTTGGGCATTTTAATGCAAACCAATAAACTCTGGGGCTTATTGCTTGTGCGCCTGGGACCACAGGATGTTGAGCTAGGTCAGAGCAGCCCCGGCTGGCGAGGGGCCCCGGGGGTCAGCCTGCCTGTCTGGGGCTGCTCCAACTGAGCTCTATATGCTGTGGAGCAGCTGGCTGGGGTACGAGAGTGCTTCACTGTAGGTCTAGCTAGCAGGCAGCCCCTGCACTGAAGCACCCTTGGGGCTTAGCCAGCTGGGGCAGTGTCTACATGCGTGCTGCTGCAGAGTAAAAAACTTGCAGCTATTTATAAGTACTATTCTGCTGCAAAGTAAATTATTTTGCTCCAGCCTAATAGGGGCACACATGTAGACACACTGTTTACTATGCAGCTAACTGGTCTACTGCACAGGAAATGTCTTGTGTAGATGGACCCCATTTATAGCATTTTCCTCCCTGGGTCAGTGTTCCTCTTCAGCTTGAGAAGAAACTACAGTCCTACTTTGTTTAGAGGCTGACAAAATGAGATAATCCTTTTTTTGTTGGTTTGGTTTTTCAGTAGCCTTGCCAGGGAAGCACTACACACTTTGTCTGTGGTTTATATCTTGCAATAGCTGTTAAAAACATGTTTCTATCGGGTGAATTGGTGGTTATTAGTGGAGTTGCATATTCACTGCTTTAAGCAGCAAGAATGCTGTCAGCATTGGCAAACATAACATTAAAAAATGTTTCCCCATTTTAATTTGATTCCATGCCCCCTTCCCTAACCTGTGGTAGATTTCACAACTTTATTTTTTTCTCCCCCTTTGATGAAAAGAGACATTTTACTTTCTTAAACCTCAGTGACCTAATGTATTGCTTTGGTGTGGGATTCCCTACTTTTGGCATTTTTTTTATCATTATTAAGCTTCAATTTTTCATTCCTCCAGCCACTCTGCCATGGTGATGGTGCCACAAGAATCTGCTTAAGTTTGGTTATAAAAACTTGAAAACATTTTTTTCTCCTTGCTGATAAACCAGGATGAGCCTGGGACTTGTGCCAGCATACAAGTTACAGACAGTTGCATAGGTAAAACTGTTGACACTGTCCGTTTCCCAATACAAATATATTTTTCTAATGACTGTCTTCCAAAAATTGCCTGCATGAACAATTGAACACACTGGCCATGGTGTCCCAAATGTGGTATCTTGGGACTTACTGGAAAACCCAACAAGTTGTCTACTTTTATTGCTTTACCCACAACTCAGATGGGTTGTTTTTTTTACATTTAATCCTCTCAGTATGAGGGGCAATCTGGGGTCAATTCTAGTTGCTGATCAGGTAGAAGCTGAGGTTAAAAGTGAGGATCATTGCAGTCCTGATTTACTTAAGGCAGTGGTGACTAAGTATTCAAGGCTAGCTTCTAAGATGCTGTAATACCTTACTTCATGGTGGCTCCTGCACTTGGCAGTTACCTCTTAAACCTGTCTATCCCACTTCCACTCAGTCCTATTCATTCAGCTCCTCTAACCTCCCTTTATTTCTGCCTCATACCTTGCCCATTTTTGAAGGTTGGTGTTCTTCTGCCCCCTTTCGCAGATTCATAGATTGCGAGGGGCTGCCTCTGAGCAGTCTTCATTAAATCTCATTGTAAAGCCCAGGTTTTGTTAGTGTGACAAGTGCTCTCAGGCATTTTGGATGCCATCAGATAGTTGGAACAGCTTGAATTTGTTTTAGATGTTACACTCCTGAGGTTCAGGTTGGCTTTGGATATGATTGAAAAGCACCTAGTCCAGCAGGGCCCTGATCCTGATTAGAGCCTCTGGGCTCAACTGCAATAGGAGCATATAGGTCATACTGAGACTTGCTTCCTTTTTGATGTATTGTTAGAGGAGCTGATGTGTAGTGGCTTACTGGATATCAGATTCACCCAAAGAACCTTCTCTTACTGGAGTAAGGCATTGTTTAATCCTGCTAGGTTCACTGTAGTTGAAGCCTTCAAGTAGGAAAATGGTCTGGAACCCAATTTTCCTATGTGGAGGGTAAGATGTTGATATTGAGCCGCTCTCCATGCTGGTTGGATCCTCTGCCAAAATGTGCCCTCCCTCCCCAACTTGCTTGCAAGCTTCCTGTCCTCCATTTAGCTGTGTAGCACCTGGTCCTTTAGGTGGAATTTTTTTTAAAGGTGTTGTATGAATAAAAACCTTTTATTATATAAAATTATGATAATCAGACTAGTTCTTATTGGGGACAAAAATCCCAAAAGGCCTCAGGCTATGCCAAACCCCTGAAGAGATGGCTACTAGCCTACTGTTGTTCGTACAATTGATTCCTGTCACCTTTTTCTTTTCATAGGCAATTGGTATCATGGAAGTAGCACACGGGAAAGATCATCTATACATTTCAGAGATCAAAAAGGAATTAGAGGACCACTAAGCCTTTGAATATATGCAATTCTTCAACTTTTACATAGAAGCCTTGTTACAGAAACCTGGAAGCCTTTGGGAGTGCTTTAAAAATTGCTGTAGTGTGAAAGCATTTCTGTAATATAATTGAATGACAAATGTTGTGCACTTTGGGCCTTGCATCTTGCATTCTGAGGCTTACATGAAATGCAATTCCTTACTCTTTACATATATTAATCCTTGATATTTTTTTAAGGTGGCCATTGTTCCATGCAGAGCAGACCTTTGACAGATCATGCGCAAAAATGACCAATCTTTTCTCTATAGGTTTTAATGTAGTATCTTATCAGTGTAAAAAGTTAATTAAATTGACATACAACTCTTGTGGCCCTACTGCTATGTTTCCTAATTGTTTGTTTGCCAAATTAGTACATCCACTTTTCTGAGCACTTTTTTGTGTCTGAATAAGTAGTTCTTTAAATCTGTCTTTCATAGTCCATTGTTTTCAATACTTTCCTCTGAAACTTACTTCTGTTCATACTGCTTTTATTTTATTTAAGAAACCCACAAGAGTTTGATTTATGTATTTGAGCTGGAGTGTCACTCTCTCAGGGAATGCATGTTCCAGGTAACACAGGACATACAGTAGTTTTGTCATTCCTTGGACAGCTGCTGCATAAGAGGTTGTCATTACTGTATTTTACTTGTGGAATCAAGGCTTGCGAAACTTTCCTCGGTAGCTTTTGCAAACTGCTTGCGACGGGAATACAGTCCATGATAGCCAGTTGAGGTCTCTTGTTAAAGTTTACAGGAATTACATCCATGTACAGGGGCAGGGACACTGCTCTGATGCACTGTAATTACAGTAGGTCAGAGCATACTCGATGAATGAAGTCTGCTGGTGCATGCTAAGTAGTGGTGTTTCAGCAGCCCCATGCTTCAAAATGGTGGGGGCTTTTAACCAGAGCTCATCAAACAAGCTTTAGTTAAAGCATCTCTGCTGCCATTTTGAAGTGTAGGATGCTGAATACATGAGACACTGCAGGTGCTTTAATTAGAGCGGCTCTCAGAGCTGCTGTCATGAAAGCCCCTCCTACTCCTCCCACTCCCAGAGCATGTGTAAACATGCCTCTAGTATTAAGGTAGATATAACCTCAAGGGAGCCTGATTTCCTACAGCTGGAGACCATGAGCACGAACTTTGTCAGGGAAGAAAAGGTGCTATAGCCCTTGAAGAAAGGGCTCAAATACCCTGCTGATGAATCCCATGTTCCCCATGCCATAAAGCAGCCCTTCCCTTTTTTTAGAGCTCTCAACTGATTAACTTAGTGGTTAGGGTACATTCCTGACACGTGGGGCACAGGTATGAATGTTGTTTGGGCTGCAGAGGACTTTAGAGAGGGTATCTCAGTTTTTGGGCAAGTGCTCTCATCACTGAGCTATTACAAAAAGGTAGGCAATATGAACCCCTGCTTAAGTCTGAGCCCTGCTCTGTTCCCTAGGGAGTTCAAGGCATTCACCTACCTTTGGGAGTAGATTCTGGATCGTGAACAGATGGAGGCATGTAGCCCTGAGTCAAATGCCTAAGCTTTGGTGTGGAACAACAGGTCAGACTTACCTCTGTGGTTAAGGTCTCTTATTGGCTTCCCACTTAGTGCACAGGGGTTTTCTCTTCTGTCATCCTTAAACACTTCAGGCTCTTTGCGCAGTGTAAAGAACCTAGATGCTAAGACTAGAGCCTTAAGATTGCACACTGGAGGCCTAAAATGAAACACTGAATGGTATCTAAACAGATGCACTATATTTAGCCTAGCTAGGGCCTCAGGATCAGCTATAAATCTCATTAGCCTCAGTTACAGAGCTGATGGCTGCAAGTATAAAACCCCAATCATTATATAGGAAGGAAAACAAATGGATGTCCTTGGGAAAAATATTTATTGTATATTGTGAATATGAAGGATAGACAGTCTTTACCAAAAATAGCTTAGTGAGTTGAGACATTCTCACATTTGAAACAGCATATAGGAAACTATTTACATAAAGGCAGTGAAATATGTAATAAAAATAAAAAAAATTATTGCAGTCAATTAATGCTGAGTAGAACTTTTTATAAAAAGAGAAGAGAAACAGTGCAAAAATACTGTCAAAAGTAATCAGTTTTATACACAAGATAAAACTGACAAGCATAAGCTTATGTACTGATATGAATAATACATTAGAATATAAAATAGCATGCATAGATTTTTTTTTAAAAAAAGGCTTTCAATAGTATAAAATGGAGTTGCCATTCATCTCAAATTGAAAAGGGGAGGTGGAAATATAACACCTCTCAACTGTCTACAAAATGTGTACATAGCAGGAAGCTGAAGATTGTTAAATCACTGTCATGGACTAAACTATAATGTACAGCGTTACAGAACAAACACAATTGGAAACATCAAAATACTGAAGTAAAATAAAACAATAAAATCCAGTGATGTAAAACTAATTTAACATGTTATTTCATGTAACACAAGTCCCACACAATTATACGTGAGCATATTACGGTCATCTGCATGTGTAAACTTTTCCTTTGTAAAATATCTGTAGTATGATACTTTACTAGTAGGGAAAATATTTTTCCATATGGAGCAACCTCAATGGGGCAATAATCTCACAAATTATGTTTTGAGTACTAGTGGTTTGTTTTGGATAAAAGACTGGATAGCAGCAAGAGAACGGGTAGTTACAGAGAAAAATGGCAGTCCTTACGTTCAAATCAATTCCTGCCCGCCTGGCTCAAATTAAAAATCCCACTGAGCTGACTAGGATTCTCACTTACATAGGAAGTACCAATTTGGGGCCCTGGATGAGGGATTATTTGCTTGGTGCAAAAATAATTTTAATAGCCTAAAAGTGCAATATCCTTTAAAAAAACGAAACAAAACAGTTCTAGTAGTTCTGTGCCTTTCACCTGGTGCTTCAATTGCTCAGCACTGGCTCTGATTTTACCGTTAATTTCCCTTTCCAACAATTCTTCTGCCTGTGAAACTCATTCATTTGGATGTTGGAAAGGCAAAAGCTTTATATCCTTGGTTTACAGTGAAATACTGACTATCCAACAAACACATGAAAGGCTGGGAAATTTCAAAACGCTTTTAAATAGAGCATGTTACATTCACTGGACCTCTCTTTTCCTAGATTTTATATAGATTAAGCCTAGCAAAATCTACCTGGATTTAATATAAACAGTACCTACATATATATATATAACATATATTATGGCATATATATGCTATATATTTTTATATATAAAAATATAATGTTTGTTTTTATTTGTGCTCTGTCTGATTACTACTTTACCTTGGAACCAAAACTGAATGGAACTGCCTTAAAACCAGTATTAGAAAATACCTTAGAGACTCCATCTTCTCTTGTGTTTACAAAGAGACTGAGCATTTTTCTCAAACTATGGGCCTGCTTTTCTCATTACATTTATATCTAAGCCTGTAATTCTCAAGCACCTCTTCTTAGATGCAAGGTACTGTTTGGAAAATGCCAGGTCTTAGCTTTCACTCTTTTTTCTAACTACAGAAGAATTGAGCAATTTTTCTATTGCACTGAACTCTGAAAAACCACAACAGGTCACAATGTTTTTGACACTGTGGATTCCCATTTGAAAGCTCTGGATTTATCTTGTGAAATTGTGTTAGTATTTGCACATCAAGCCATGCTAAGAATGTATGGCACCCTTAAAAGGATTTCAAGGCATCCCAGGGTATTGTGCCACTTGGTTGAGAATTGCTGGACTAAGCTGGACCATAATAGCAAAAGGATCCAATCCAATGGGAACAAATTCTAGGCAAAGCCAAGCACTGAAAGCTCCCGCTGATTTAGTGGAGGCTGTAGATCAGTGCCCCCAGTACAAAGTTGCATCAGATTTAGCACAGAAACCTCAAGACTACAACCAGTACCAAATTCCTGTTGAACCCTTAGGTGGATGTCGATGTGGATGAGACTTGCAATGCATCTTTACTATTAAGAGTGTGCTCTTAACTCAGATTAACTAACCTAGAGTAAAACAGCGCTGAGCACAAGACAATGTGACGTGCACAGCTGTCCCAAAGCAAAGCCTATATGGAAGCCTGGAACTGAGTTCAAACAGCTAATGTTGTCTGGTCTTCAGTGCTATTTTAACCTCAGTTACGGCTAACTCAGGACAGACAACCCAAGTTAGGAATATACCTTCAAAATTGAAAAAAACCTATATCTGTTAAATGGCAGCATCACATTTAGACAAAAAATGGATGGATGGATGGATGGAATGAAGGATGCTATAGGCCATGGATCTACAAGTCAGGGTTACTAGTCCACACAAAATTCCTCTCGTAAAGTAGCAGGCATTGCTGGAGACAGCATAGGCCAACAGATTTGATGGGAACTAACATAAGTTGGAAAAAACCTAAAGCTAAACCTAAACTGAGTCTCCCTTTTCTCTCAGTTTTTTTTTTTTTTTTTTTTTTTTTAATACAGACCAGATGTTAAAACTGGGAAAGAAATGAA